TTATTATTATTTGACTGAAGAAGTTTTAACACAATCATATCTCATTACATCATGTGTAAGTAAATTATTATTTACATGTAGAACGGTCGTTTATTTTGAGTCAAGTTTCATGTAAAAAGAGATCAAAATAATGTCGAAATATCGTTAGCACCTATGCGAGACATTGTCATCTTAAGAAAAATGAGTTAAACTATTGCTTCAACTAAATTCATATTCATTTATTTCTCTTTTCTACTTCATATTCGATTTCAATAAGATGAGATTCTGTCCGATTTTGTACAAATAAAAGTAGAGTTTTAGATGCGTGTGATGCATATGAGCAAATTAACTCCCTAGCACGTATTTTAATTTCGTTCCATTTACTGATACACAAATGGGACAAACACCCAGCTAAAACAAATGAAAATGAGCACCAAGAAAATGAAATAGGCTTTAATTTTTGGTTGCCAATATAAGAAATCTTTGGAAAGAACAAATAGAAGAATTAAGGGTTGGGTCTGGGCTAAAGTTTAAGACAAAAACTGAAGGGATATTATAAAAAATCAGGTGTTTAAAGATTAGGGTGCAAAAATCAGGTGAGAGATTTTTTTAATCAAAATTCAAGTATTGATTTAAAAATTAAATATTATTCTCACCCTACCCAATCCCAAACCCTAAATCATTTTTCATCTACCTCTCATTCTCTCCTCGTCTNTACCCTACCCAATCCCAAACCCTAAATCATTTATCATCTACCTCTCATTCTCTCCTCGTCTCTCTCTATCCTCTCGATTTTCTTTAGATTGCCGTCGCAATTGAGGAGCTCCCGTCGCCGGAGAGTCGAGAAGTGGCTTCATCGCTGCTGTGCTGCGCCCTCGAGGAGCCCCCTCCCACTCCAACTCTCTCCCTAGTCTCTCTGTGTCTGACACTGCCGATAGCAGCTTTACTCGACTCTGCTTTGCATGACGTTGGCGTTTACGGGGTGTGTGCTGTTCAATGGGTGCCTTTCGCGGGATGTGTGCATTTTGTGGTTGCCGCTACCGTTCAGTGGTGTGTGCAACCAGTGGGTATGCGTGTGTGTGTGTGCTGGGGTGTGTATGCTATAAACGGCAGCCGGCGGAGTGGATGTGGTGTTTGACTGTAGATGTGGTGTGTGGTGGGTTCAGATCTGGTTCGTGGTGGCGTTGATAGTCCGTGGTTGAATCCTATGATGGTGGTGGGTGGGTGGGTGTGTGCTGTGGGTACGGTGCAGTGGTATTGGCAGCGTGGGTGTGTGGTTTTTGACCAGTTGTGAAGTGTGTGGTGGGTTGGTAGGTTCAGATCTAGTTTGATGGTGGTGCTGATAGTGGTGATATTGTATTCATGGTGTTGTATTATTGTTGTTGTTGTTGTTGGTGGTGGCGGTGGCGGTGGCGGTGGCGACGGGATGAAGAATGTTTGTGATTTTGGTTTTGTGACTAAAAATATAATTTTTAACCTTAAAATTCGGTAATCTGTAACTAAAAATATAATATGTGACCAATTATTTTTTTATCCGTGACTTAAAAATTATATAATCTGTGACCGTAAAAAATCAGTGACCAATTAATTTGAAAATATGTGACTGTGTGACCTATAAATTTTTATCTATGACCAACTAATGTTGAAATCTATGACCAACGAATTAATTGTGACCTATAAAATTTTTGAACTGTGACCGTAAATTGTAAATCTGTAACCAGAATGATCACCAGAATAGTCGCCGGAATAATTTTCGGAATCGGAGGAGTTGCCGGAACGGTCGCCCGAGAAGAGTGGTGATCGGAATGATCGTCAGAATAATCCTCGGAGCGGTATGGGTGGTACATGTGAAATGAGTTAATTATATTATATTAGAATTAAATATTTAATAATAAATTGATTTAATAATTTATTATTTCATAAATAAAAATAAAATAAAAAACCTGATTTTTGAATTGAGTAAAGTATACACCTTATTTATGAATTTTTCCCAAAACTGAATTATTTGGGCCAGATCAACAGTTTAGAACCAAATCAAATCAAAGGAAAAATTCATAAATTAGACATTATAGACCAATTCAATTTTAAAAGAACAAGTTTACGAATTCAAAAATCAGGTGGTAATTAATAAATATTATATATAAAAAAATTTCGACCCACTCCAATCTCTTTCTAATCCTAGCCACATTCATTGGCATCTACCCGTCGCAGACATCCGCTCTCACAGTCGCCAACATACATCGTCCCCATCTCCTCTCACAATCATCGGCATGTAAACTGTGTGATATTGATTTTGAATTTGAACTTCAATTGACGGATTTTTGGTGGAGTAGAATTGACAAATTATCTAATTAAACTTCAACGACAATTTTTTGACAATATGATTTAAACTACATGTAAACTGTTATCTGTGATATTGATCCAACGGCCTATAACTAGTTATATTAGATCTATGACCTTTAGACATTGATCAATTATTTGTTATATTGATCCATGACCTGTGAAAAATTCTTTTGGATGTCTAACCTATAGACGTTGATCTGTATCCTATACAATATGACATGTGGAATAAATGAAGTGTGACATGCGAACATAAATTAGTGATATGTGACCAATTTTAATTGATGTGTGAACTATGGACATTTATGTGTGACTAATTTTAATTGATCTATAACATGTGCACAGTAACATGTGACCTAGGAATAAATTGTGAGACACCACAACCTCACCGGCACTGTCGCCACAATATGCAAACCACTAGCAACAACATTCACAGTTATGATTCGGATACCGCCCAAACTGTTTACACCGCTCATTTTTTGTCTTCATTGTTCCACTGGCTTGTCCTTCAAAAATATGATTATACCACGTGTCAAGATAGTGTCAATCTTCTTGTTTGTTGGGTGCTACAGCTTTGTTGTAGATGAGGTGATCCTGTGATTTATACACCCAAATATTTTGTTTTTCTTCAATAACTTTTTGAATATGTTCAAACTGCTCTTTATATCCTTTGGCTCTACGAAATGCCATCAAATTATTGATATCTTATGGCGTAGTATCATGGATTTCACTCTTTTCAGGCTAGAAATGCTTGAAAGTAGTGGTCATTCTTATGACGTGACTTGTCGGAAGCAGTCTATCTTCTTCGTTATCACATTCGGAACTTGCAGAGAAAGCTCTAATATATATATATATATATATATATATATAACTTGACAATATCGTACGATGACTCGAACTACATCATTCGGCAGCATAGAAATTTCCTTTAAAGATTTTGATGGATATATACAGAGTATATTTCCAAATTCATATAGAGCACGAACCCAATAAGCTAGAGCTACTGGATAAAAATTAAATTTGTTATAATATCCATATGTCAAAGTCTTTATCCATTCTCCANCTTTTGGTAACATCGAAATTTCTTTTAAAGAATCTGATGGATATATACAGAGTATTTTTCCCATCTCATATAGAGCACGAACCCAATAAATTGGAGCTCCTGGATAAGCATTGACTTTGTTATAATTTTCATATGTTAAAGTTTTCATCTATTCTCAAATACTCGTAAACCAACAGCAGGCTAGATTGAACAATGCATATGCTAACATAAGATCATTTTTATTTTTGATAGCCATAACACCAGGGGTGTTACAGGTTTTGATGATATTTGAGTGATCAAGTTCTTGTATAGAGATACTGTCCTTTGTAAATTTCTTCTCCTATGAAGGAGACAAAGTATTATTCTTTTTGAATGATAGTTTATGAAGCTTGAATGCTTCTTATTTGATATTGGCTTTAGAGCCTTCAGATATACTAGCACTAGGGCCTTCAGATAGTATAGCCTCTTTGGCTTTCTCTGATATAGGCTTAGTAGCCATTTCCTTTAATGTTATCTTAAATTCCATAGCAGCAATCTTCACAT